GAGTGAGGGAGTGAGTGTGTGTGTGTGTGAGTGAGTGAGGGAGTGTGTGTGTGTGTGTGTGTGAGTGAGTGAGGGAGTGTGTGTGTGTGTGTGTGAGTGTGTGAGGGAGTGAGTGAGTGTGTGCTGGATAATCACATGCCTTCAGTTCCTCTATTTTTGGACATGTCGTCTCTTCTCGAGCGTCGTGGATCTGTGAAGGTGTCTTGATTGAACTCTGACAGGCCTGACAGCAAAGCCCAACTCCTCCTCGGTCGTCCGCTCAAGGGAATGAAATAAACTCATTTTCCAGAAGCGTGTTCGTTGTGCACTTTACCTTTGATGAGCTGACAGCGCGGATGCCATCTGCATGTTAGGTGCACATTTGCATGCGTTTAGCAACAACTCTGAGATCTCCCGCGACGGCGTCAGACACATTCTGCACAAAGCAGTTTGGAAGTAATGGTGCAGTTGCACAGTTAAAGCATATGCTCGTGCTGGTCTTTATCTGCTGTTTGATGATCCCGTGTTGAACTGTGTTTGTGGAGCGGCTCAACATCTGGCGGCACGTAAGCGGGCTGTGACCTCATAAATGAGACTAGCATGTGCGCGGATCTGTCGAGCTCATTCTGTTATTGTCTGAGTGTGAAAAACAGGTGGTGCAGGTAACGTGGAGCCGATTGATATCAGATCGCCGCGCACCTGCGTGCAGCCCTGGATGGGAATAATCGATTATTCAGAGTAAATATTGACTCCTGGCCGTGGATGTTTTCTGGGCCTGTGCTGAATCGGTGCAGATATCCCTCGCTCCCGGAAGACGGCGGTCCACACTGCACTTAACGTGAAGGCCGAGCGTAAACACACAATGCCTGGGAAGCTTTTCAATAATTAATGGGCTCTCTCGTAAAAAATCCATCTCTGCAGGAGTGGAGTGATAGTGTTGAGATGACACTTTACTCTCGTCTGTTTGAGTGCATGTTTGTTCTCATCAGAGCCCAGATCATAAAAACATAGACTGTATTAAACATCCGTCGTATAATCGCCGTAACTGCACGAGACCCAAACGACGTCAGAAACACTCGCAGCGATGATCCACGTGGCTCCATCAACTCCAGTCTTGTGCCATAAATAATTTTGCAGCTCATTTCTGACCATATTGTATGTTTGTGTTATTTGTTTTCACACATATTAATGTGATTTCTAGTGTATTTCTGTCAGATGTTCTGTGCTTTATAACGTGTTACAGCAGCGTTTCGCGTGGCTTCAGTGATGTTTGTAGCGTAGCTACATATTTTCAAGTTTGTGAATCTTTTAAATCTAAAATTAAAGAAATGCAATTTTCCCAGATTCCCCTAAATGGTGTCCCAAGTACCCAAACACAGTCTGAACCAAGAGTTTCGTATTTGCTCTCAGGTTTGTGATTTCCCAGCATACATTGCAGCGTGAATAAATGAAGCAGTTAGTGTTGTAGGATTATTGTTTTGCTGTTTGCTTTTGTTTTGTTTGTGATTATTGTTAGTTATTTTTTGGGATGTAAATGTGTGTGTGTCTGTAATATTATATATTTGTGAGTGTGTGTGCGTGTGTGTGTGTGTGAGCGTGTGTGTGAGCGAGTGAGTGTGTGTGTGTTGAGTGTGTGTGTGAGCGAGTGAGTGTGTGTGTCTGTAATATTATATATTTGTGAGTGTGTGTGCGTGTGTGTGTGAGTGTGTTGAGTGAGGGGTGTGTGTGTGTGTGTGTGTGTGTGAGCGAGTGAGTGTGTGTGTCTGTAATATTATATATTTGTGAGTGTGTGTGCGTGTGTGTGTGAGTGTGTTGAGTGAGGGGTGTGTGTGTGTGTGTGTGTGTGTGAGCGAGTGAGTGTGTGTGTCTGTAATATTATATATTTGTGAGTGTGTGTGCGTGTGTGTGTGAGTGTGTTGAGTGAGGGGTGTGTGTGTGTGTGTGTGTGTGTGAGCGAGTGAGTGTGTGTGTCTGTAATATTATATATTTGTGAGTGTGTGTGCGTGTGTGTGTGAGTGTGTTGAGTGAGGGGTGTGTGTGTGTGTGTGTGTGTGTGAGCGAGTGAGTGTGTGTGTCTGTAATATTATATATTTGTGAGTGTGTGTGCGTGTGTGTGTGAGTGTGTTGAGTGAGGGGTGTGTGTGTGTGTGTGTGTGTGTGAGCGAGTGAGTGTGTGTGTCTGTAATATTATATATTTGTGAGTGTGTGTGCGTGTGTGTGTGAGTGTGTTGAGTGAGGGGTGTGTGTGTGTGTGTGTGTGTGTGAGCGAGTGAGTGTGTGTGTCTGTAATATTATATATTTGTGAGTGTGTGTGCGTGTGTGTGTGTGTGTGTGTGTGAGAGTGTGTTGAGTGTGTGTGTGTGTGTGTGTGAGCGAGTGAGTGTGTGCGTGTGTGTGTGTGTGTGTGTGTGAGCGAGTGAGTGTGTGTGTGTG